GCTGTGCTACTATGAGTTGCTTGATGCCATCCTGGGAGGGGGAGCTGATCACCTTCCCCACCATCATCATCAAGTCCAGCTAAGACATGTCTGGCATCAGACTGCAGGAGGGCGGAGTGGCAGAGGAGGAGGATGACGATGCTATGGAGGAGTAGGCCAGCCAGACAAGGATGCCTGAGTGCCAGGAGCTGGTCCAACCCCCCAGGACATCTCCCAGGTTTCTGATGACCCGAGGAGGACACTTTTAATGAGTTCTCTGCCTGACCCCATTTGAAGAAAGGGAAAGTTAATGGGCTGGGAGGGAGCTGCATGCCCCTAGAATCATAGAATCCTAGGGCAGGAAGAGACCTCAGGAGGTCATGAGTCCAACTCCCTGGCTCCTGGCCCAGTCCGCACCTTCGCATGCCTGTTTGCCCCTGGATCATGAGTATTGTGATGTTCCTCTAGGACATCTATGCAGCTGCTGTAAAGTCCCTGCTTTCTAGGCACAAACATCACCATTGTCTGAACTGAGACCTTCAGTGTCAGCTCAAAGATTAGGGCTAGGCTTCATACACAGTCTTCTGCTCTTATAACCATCTCAGTACACAAACCAAAGTGGATTGATTGCTTTATTGCTACACAATTACATCACCCACAATAGAAACAGCAGCAAGATTCAGCATATCTATATCTTTTTATTGCTGATGCAGCACAGTATTGAATATGGGACTCTATAGTAAATCAACAAGATTACATAATTATTTAAGTAGTAAGTCCAGTTACATCTACTGATCTTAGGGTATGTCTACGCTGCACCCCTCTGCCGGAAGAGGGATGCAGAGTAGTCAAGTCGAAATTGCTAATGAAGTGGGGATTTAAATATCCCACGCTTCATTAGCATAAAAATGGCCGATGCTTTTTTTTGGCACGGAGCTTTGTCGGAGAAAAGTGGTAGTCTAGAGGCCTATCTTTCACTTATGAAAGCCTTTTCCGATAGATCCCGTATGCCTCATCAATGTGGAAATAAACAGAATTCTACCTTTTAATATATATGAATACAATATTTGAAGTGAATTTCTATCACAAGCTTTTTACAAAAATGTACAACTTTACAATTATAGAACAAAATTAAAAGAGAGAACAAATATACCTTCCAGTTACTTATTGTGCCATTCCTGGTTTTCTAGAGAAAGCATTCACAGAACTAATGTACTACAGTTTGCACCTCTGAAAACCAGTACTCTCTGGTTCGGCAACATCCGTGGTCCAACGGGACCACGGATGCTCCTGGACCAGAGAACCCCAGAGCCTAGTGTCAGGAGGCCAGCATCCCAGCTGGGATGGGGGACAGTGGAGGAGCCTCACAGCAGTGCTGGGACCAGGACCAAGAGAACCGTGGCAGCACAGTGCCAGGAAATTTAGAAGCCAGGCTGCCTCTGGCATCTCGGAGCTGAAGAACCTCAACAGCCAGCGGCAGTGTGAAGTCAGGGGCTGAAAAAGTGTGGAGGCCCTTGGCAGTGCAGGGATGGTGAAAAGTGGCCACTTGTGGCAGTGCAGGCCAGGGCTGGAGAACCCCAGATGCCAAAGGCAGCCCGGGGCTGGGACCAGAGGCAGCAGAACAGGAAAGAAGAAAGAGGACGCCAGAGACAGGAGGCTGGGTGGCTCGGGGGCCATGTCAGGGAGAGGTCTAGCCTGTATCAGGTTGAGGTTCTATTTATATAAAATACCTTTAGCAACCTGAACTTTCGTTTCTCTCAGCTGTTCTCATTTACAGTAAATAGCTCTTATTTATTTAAGAAAAAAAATGACTTTCCAGGAAATGGCTTCACAGATCTATAAACCATGATAAAAAGGATAAAGTACAAAGAATTGCATTTTTCTTCTTGGCAAATCACAAAGGAGGAACTGAACCAGCTGAAACTTTGACTTATGAAGAACCTCTGTCTAAACAATGAACATGTAATATACAGCTGACAATGTAAAGATATATACATTTCACATTAAGATCTGATAGCCTTGGATATCACTGACCCTGCCGATGAGTCAGCTTAAAAGTTCGCCTCAAGGACTGAGCCACGGTGTAAAAGAAATTCTTCAGAATGATCCAACAGATTTGTATTACCTAAGCAAGAGCTCTGGGTACCTCAAAAGCTCATGTCTTTTATCAACAGAAGTTAGCCCCATCGAATCTGTTACCATCTTGTTTTTCTGATACATAGGACCATGATAGTGACAACATTGCTAAGAGTCAGGGTCTAAATGGAGGGTGGTAGAGCTTTGTGTGTACATCTTACATGACCCCTTTTCAAAAATAAATTCAGTGCCTAAATGGGTTTAGTTGCCAACAAACAACTGTTACACCCTAAAATTTCCTGTTATTTTCCTGTGAATTTTGGACTCCTTCCTACTCGCATTGATGTCAATTGTTAAACATTCTGGCCCTTTGATTTTAACTTGACTTTTACAAAACCTCGCCTCCCATGAGACCTTATTTGCAGCTTCACAGGGGGCTCCTTTTTAAATTCATATTACAGCAGCTCCTAGGATGGGATAATAGTTGTATTTTTGTTTTTTGGACAATACTTTTTGACAGGGGGGCCACTCCATGATTTTGGAATGTGGTTGAGGGCCACACTCTTCCAGGATGTTAATGGAGGAATTCTGGGGTCTAGGATGGAGGCTGGGTGCAGAGGGAGCTTGGGGGATGGGATTGGGGTGCAGGAGGGAGAATGGGTCTGGGACGGCATTTGGGTGAAGGAGGAAGGCAGGGGACAGGATGCAGGATTTTGGGATGTGACCTAGGATAGGAGGGGATTGTGATCTGGGGTGGGGGATTGGGGTACCAGAGGGGGTATGGGTGCAAGCGAGGGCAGAGGGTTTGGTTATTTGGAGGGCAGAGCAGAGGGCTGGGGAAGGGAGGGGCTGGCGTGCCAGAGGCAGTCTTTGGCTGGGAGGCACTTACAAGAAGAAACCTGAGGCAGACTTTCTGCTGCAGGCTGCTTGCTGCTCCACGTGGCTGTGTTCCAGGCATGAGAGGGAGGGGGAGGGGAAACGGACATGAGAAGGGAGGGAGAAGGCTTCCTACACTGTCCCTGATCCCTGCAAAAATTCTCAGCTTCTATTGGCTGGAAACTCCAGAGATCTGCCTCCGGGTCAGCATGGCCTCCACCACAGGGAGCCCCTGCTTGTTCCTTCACCCTCCCATTCTCCCAGCCTCTGCCCTGAGCTCCTACTCACTGCCCAACTCTAACTCCAGCATCCCTCCATATTCTCAGATCCATGTCCTGAGTCCTTCCACATATTCAAACCCTGACTCCTGCACCACACCACACACCCACCAGCCCCCTTCCCTGAGCTTGCCACAAGTTCAAACACTTTTTCCTGAACCCCCATGCCCCAAGCACTCCACATGCCTGAGCCCTTGTCCTGACATCTGCTCCCCATCCCGAGCAACACTGGGTGACACTTCTCGTTTACTCATAAAGCTAAGTCTCATTCTCCTGGAACTTTGTACAACAAAATGGGGCTCTTGTGACCTTTTAAATTAGAGACAACCCTGGTCCTTGTTCTCTGTCAGTTTCAGACTTACAAGAAATCAGCTATGATGGGGAACTATTTGTTATGTGAAAAATGGATACTTACATAGTGTTCTGCAGTTTTAACCAGCTCAGTACACAAATCAAAGAGCTTTGATTGCTTTATTGCAGCAAAATGGTATCGGCCACCATAGAAATAGCAACAAGATTCAGCATATCTATACCTTCTTATCGCTGATGCAGCGCATTATTCAATATGCAATACTATAGTAAATCAACAGGCTTATAGAATTATTTACGTAGCAACCCCACTTGCACCAACGGATTTTAATGAAAACCACAAGGACAGGGAGACTAAAATTCACAGATTATTAACAGTTTGTCCTTACAGGCTCTGTCATTCCATTTGCCATCAGTATACAGTTCCACGCAGTGTTCAGCTCCACCAGCATTATTTGGTTCATTTTGAGCCCAATTTGAGTATCTGATGGCTTCACCAGTTAGATACTTAAATATGCCTTCTGTTTGTATATCGGTTATTCCAAGAACTGCTGTTTTCTTAAGATGAACTACAATTTGTTGGATGGCACTGTTCTCTGCAGAATTCCTTGGAGAAGCAAGCAGGCCACCAGCTTTAGTACATGTGGTTTTGGCGGTCTCCATGTCACCTACAGACCCATTGGCTACAAATGTTTTTTTCCCAATGCTAACACCATTTCCAAAAGAATGAGCTAGAAATGGACAAAAGTACAGTACATGTAAGTTACATATTTTCACACAATTCTTTACATGAGAGAAACAGGTGCTAGGACCTTAGAGTGTGATACTGATATTTTTGTTGATTTATTCTGTAGGCTATCACAATCTCGGAAAAAAAATATTAGCTTGAGGTTCACACAGTATGACTGGTTTTTTGGATGCCAGTAAAGACATATATTCAGTTTGTACCTTATCTAGCAAGTTTTTATTTTCCCAGTGCCATAATAGGTGTTCAACATAGTACCCAAGTATGAATACAATGAACCAGGGCTAGCCTAAAATTCTGCACTACTGTCAGGTAAGAGTGTTAGGGAACATCACCACAGTACATTTTATGAGGCCAGGCCCCTAGTGCTAGATACAGCATATGGCATAATCCTGTCATCATTCTCTTTTAGTCACAGAACCAATCAAAGAACATTTCAGAAACAAAATAGATCCTATCAAAGCCACGTCATCTTTGCTCCAGTGTACTCTGGATGGGTTTTTTGTAGCGCAGAATTCCACGGCCATTTCCACATGATGGACTCGTCTACTCACCCCATATAGTCACCTCATATAGTCAAACTGAGCTACTTTACTAAAATATCCAGCAAGTACATAGAAGTTTGGAGTATGAACAAATAGCAGGAAGCCAAGAAAAGACACCAGATATGAACCCTTGTTCTCTCTGAGGAGGTAGGGATCTAGATCTTCCTCTCTTTGTACAGCACTTTGCCTTACCTTTTTGGATTTTGCCGACAGTAGCTTTCAGAAAGTTCACATTTTCTTCCAAATTGCTTATTTCAGTTTTAAAAAGCTCGAGTTCTGAAGGATAAAAAAATGGCTTTGTTCTTACTGCATCTCATTAAAATATAGAAGGTTTTCTTAAAGCTTTAATATAGCTGGAGAAGTCCTCTCCAGAACTAGTAATGGTCACAGGTGCAATATGAGCGATACTGGTTTGGATTTCTCGGTTCTCCAGGAAGAGAAAATACAAATTTAAAATGGAGGTGTTGAGGCCATACCCAAAGATAAGGAAAGGATAAGGTTCTTCTCTTTCTGACTGACTTGTACTGACCCGGCAGGCTCACTCACTTCCCTCGCCTGCAAACCAGACAGTCTGACTTCCCCAGTGTCCATCTTTGAATATTTCTCCCTCCGTCAGACAGAAGCACTGAAGCCCAACTGGAACATTCATGCAATGAAAACCATTCAAACAACCATAGAACCTCTCTGCCTGCCCTGTTGGGTTCCTTCTTTACCCTCCCTCAACGGAAGCGCTCTGCTGACCTCTGCCTCCACAGTGTCCCTTTGGTCCTTCTTTACCTCTGTCTCCTTCAGGTCCAGGGGATCCATCCATTCCTGAAAGCTCAGGAAAACATCGAAATGCTTGCAATCCACTGTCTTTATTCAGGGAAAAGGAAGAGAGGAAAATAAAGCAAGTAAGCAACTGAATTAGTAGGCATTGTCAGAGTTTGTGATTGCTGTCATCATTAGAGCTGCCCAAAGATTAGATGAGCAAAAAGAAGATTATGAATTTTGGGAGAAGGTCACATCCTGATTGAGAGCCAAGCTTAATTGCTCTGCTTAGCATCGAAATAGCTGAAAAGTGCTCAGAAGTTTGGTTTGGGTTCACTTCTTTATGAAAACAGTAGAGTGCAATAGGAATTCTGACATTTCTCAGCACGTACAGATGAAGCCATAATTTCAAAAAACTTTTGAACCAGATTTGTAAGTGCCCAGCATCCAGATTTGGGTTGAGATTTTCAGGATATTAAACACAATCCTTTTGACACGTGCAACTGAATTTTCTACAAAAAATCAGCATGCAGTGCACTGTTTTGAAGATATGGGCTAAAGTGGGAGATCGCTTTTTTGAAAATCTAGTGACTCTAGTCCTTAATTCTTTGAGCCTCCATTACCCACTTCTAAAAGGAAATACTGCTCGCCTACGTCTACACTGGCATGATTTTCCGGAAATGCTTTTAACGGAAAAGTTTTCAGTTAAAAGCATTTTCGGAAAAGCGTGTCTAGATTGGCAGGACGCTTTTCCGCAAAAGCGCTTTTCCGCAAAAAAGCCCCGATCACCACTTTTGCCCGAATGGGAGCAGCATAGTATTTCCGCAAAAGCACTGACAATCTTACATGAGATCATCAGTGCTTTTGCGGAAATTCAAGCGGCCAGTGTAGACAGCTGGCAAGTTTTTCCACAAAAGCAGATGATTTTGCGGAAAAACTTGCCAGTCTAGACACAGCCCTCCTGTCTTTCTTTCTCTTTCATCTAATGAGTTTGCATGTTCTTCAGGGTGGAGATTTTCTCTCACCACATTTTGTGTAGAGTGCCTAATCCGAATTGTGTATTCGGATCTCAGCTGGGGACTATAAGTGATTTTGTAATACAAATAAATACTATGTACAGTACAATTACTGCATACCTATTTATAGTAACTTCTAGAGTGTGGGCTGAATGCCTCTTCACCCGCTGCCTCTGTCTGCACCTCTGAGAGGGTCTGCATTTCTTCAGTGCCAATTCAGCTTTTTCTGGGTTTGACAATACTAGACTATGCATCATCACAAATACCAGTTGTGGTACCACCCAGAAAAGTGTTATTTATCTACTAAGAAATGCACTGAAACAAGCAGGTCATTTCACCTAGACCACAGGACTTTAGCTGGTAACATTTTTGAGATACCACCAATCTGGATCAGATTAAAAACAGGTGGTCTGGGGGTAAAAGGCTCTAGAGGAAATCACCAATTTAAAAGCACTCTGTTTCAAATTGTAACTGATCTTTATTTGATTTTGAACAACACCACTAGTTCCATCTCAGTGTTTTTGTAATTATCAATGAATTAAGAAGCAACAAATAGTCTTGCAGTGCCTTAAAGACTAACAAAACATGTAGATGGTGTAAATTGAGGATCTTCAGATTTTTCATGCTTGACAAATCTTTTTGTTCAAGTTCCAAAGCTACACATTTTGACTTGTACATCCATTTTTTTAACCACAATCAGATCAACTGGTGAGCCATAAATAAATATCTCTATACCTGGTGTGAGAGGGTCATGGCGGAGGGCTAGATTAGAGAGTAAAGCAGCTGTAAATGGCAGCAATGGCACTGGCTAATTAAGAGAAGATTACTTCAGGGTAACCAGGAGCAGCGGAGACAGGGCTGCTATAAATCAGATAGGGCCTGTTGATGTCACTAGAGGCTGCTACAGGGCCTTTTACAAAAGCCTTCCCTGCTGGGAGAAAGGGGAGAGAGGGAGAAGAAGTTGGAATGAAATGAGACCAGAACAGACAAGGAAAACATCAGAAAAACTGAGAAAAGGAATGACAGCATTGCCAGAGACAGCTGGGCGGGGGGAGGGTAGGGGAAGGGAAGGAGCCCCAAGGAGGGGACTTCTTTGGCCTCCCTTCCCCCGGTAGCCTGAGAGTCCAGCTGATAGCTGGAGTGGACTGATTACCCAGTAGGGTTGCCAGGTGTCTGGTTTTGAACTGGACAATCCAGTATTTGAGCTTTCTGTTCGGGAAACAAATTGAGAAAATAGAAATGAGAAAATAGAAATGTCCGGTATTTTCTCAATAAGATGTAATGTCGATTGTGATGTCATGTCAAGTGTGTCCAGTATTTTTGTTGAAATCATCTGGCAACTCCACCCAGTCTTGGCTGACCAGAGGGCACCTGTCTAGCTGAGGGACAGAAGCCCAAGCCCCAGCAAACAGCCTGTGGGAACCATGCTGCAGTACCTAGACTGCAAGATTGTGGGCTGAACAAGGGTCTGACCCAGGAATGGGACTGACCTAGCAACTCTGGATCTACTGGTACCACCTTAGTGCCTTCCACTCCAACACTTTCTTGTAACCCATTCGGAGGAGGTTCATCCTGTTCCAATTTTTGCACAGCCTGATCAGGATTTGAATTAGAAGTTGTCACTAGAGGTAACACCAACACAAAGGTGTTGACTATTCGGAGCAGCAGCATAGTCCAGTTCCTAGGCTGTGTAAAATTATTAAAAGAATTACCATAATAGCATTCTGAAGCAGGTAAGATCTTTATGATGCAGTACTACGCATTGGCTATATAAAGGAATGCTTAAATGTCTTAATTTGTAAAATATTTGTAGTGGTTTATAGTGGCTTCAGTGCTCATAAATACACTTCTTAATTATTCTTTACTCACGTCTAAATCAAGTTAATTTCTGGAATTTCTCCTGCTCTCCACCCTCCTCAACATGGCACCCCAAAAAAGCAGCACATTTCAGGCAAATCTCATCAGGTTGCATGCAAACATAATCGTAAAAGTTTTCTAGATACTTGCTTCTAAGAAAGTGATTTTTTTTCACCCCCACATATCAGTTGAGAAGAGAATGTAAATAACGAATGTGGCAATAAACAGAATTCTAATTTTTAATACCTATAAATAAAATATTTCTATTACATTTCTATCATAAGCTTTTTACAAATGATGCACAACTTTATAATTAAAGAACAAAATTAAAAGAGAGAGCAAATATAACAGCCAATCACTTACTGTGCAGTTCCTGGTTTTCTAGAAAAAGCATTCACAGGAATAATGTACTATGAGTTTGAGGGTCTATTTATACAGTACAAGTTAAGCAACATGAACTTTGGTTTTTCAGCTATTCTCATTTAAAGTAAATAGGAGCTCTTAGAAGAAAAAATCACTTTAGAGTAAATGGCTTCATAGGTCTTTAATCCACAATAAAAAGATAAAGTGCAAAGAATTAAATTTTTCTCTCGGCAAAAGACAGAGGAGGAACTGAACCAAGTACAGCTTTGATGTCTGAAGAACCTCTGTTAAAACAATGAACATATGATATGCAGCTGATGATTTAACCATCTATAAATTGCACATTGACATCCAATAACCTGGGATTTCACTGACACTGTCAATAAATCAACGTAAAAATTCACTTAGAATAGAGATAATACTGAAGAATTTCTTTCACAGACTAGCTCAAAAAGATTTGTGTGTTTTACGTAAATAAGAGTTCTGTGTACATTGAAAGCTCATCTCTTTTATCAACAGAAGTTAGTGCAATCAAACCTGTTACTCATGTTGTTTTTTCTGATATAATGGGACCAAAACTGCTACAACATTGCTAGCAATTTTTACTACTTGTTATTTATATTAGACATTTTCTTGCGATCTCTTTATGTGTCAAATGCACATGAACCTGGCAAAGAATTTCCCACTCTGTTTTTACCACTCCTTATTCCTATAGAAGTGAAAAGACTAAAAAAAGTTCATCATCAGAAAGCCTCTCTAACAGTACGGACAGCACAGGCAGGAGTTCCCTTCTGGAGACCTAGTGGTTTATGTTGCTTGGATAAACATTTTAACTTCTTCATGCCTTTTCAAAGCAAACTTAGACATGACCCCTTACGTCATGAGGTTATGTAATGCTGAGAGAGCCCGGTCATCTGTGGTTAAAATAGAGTCTGGGACCTGTGGAGCTTGGTGCATGAACCTCTACTGCATGACCTAAAAGTCAGCTGGCTATTAGCTAAGGCTCTATGTGGAAAGAACTCATCACTCTCTTTGTAAGACGTGGTGTTAGTGCAACTAGATGGCACAGCATACCACACTGGGAAGGTGTGTGGATTACATCCACAGAAGTTAAAAAGGGCCCTTAACATTTCTTAACGAACAAGTTCAATCCTAATGAAGATTAAGCAATTACAGCAATAATACATTAACTGGTTGAAATGAAGCCAGGATGCCCCCATAGTACTTACCTGGACCAACTAAAACAAGTTAGCTACCTTCTTTATAGTAGGATGTGAACTTGTTAAATTATACTATTTTTTTTTCCTGGTGAAGACAAGTCCAGGTTTAACCAGGTTATCTAATACCTTATGGATAGGTAGAAACACAGAGGATAAAAAAGAATAATGCAAACAACATCACTGGTTTTTTCAATGAGTCCTTGTTCTACTGCTTTAAGTATGATAAGCGGAAGTTTTGACTGTTTAGGTCAGTGGTTCCCAAACTTTTCGGCATCACGCCCCCTTTTTGATTTTTGAGAAACCCTCATGCTCCTCCCCCCCCCCCATAGCAACAAAACTTGTTGACCAAAAAAAAAAAAAGAACTGACGGGGGCCAAAAAGCAAAAATAGCAGCACAACTGGGGTGGGGTGGGGTGGGGGAATTGATGGGGGGACTGGGTTGCTTCGTGCCCCCCCGGAATTTCTTCACACACCCCCAGCGGAGCACATCCCCCAGTTTGGGAACCCATGGTTTAGGTGGAGATCAGCATGTCCCCTAGTTTGGGAACCCATGGTTTAGGTGGAGATCTTGAACAAATGGACTCAAACACACATTTCTAAAAATATATCAAAAGATTTTTTTTATGAATTGTTCATATTTTTTGTAATAACAAAACTCTTGCTTTCTTTCTGCTGGATTTGAAACTTTTAAAGACAGTTAAGCTGTCAAGTAAGTGGTCTTCTAGCAAACTCAGCCAATTTAAAGGAAGTACTTATCTGAAGTACAGTTTAGGAAAACCAATAAGCACAATCAAGGCCATCTATGAATGCAAAAAGCAAAGCAATTCCCTCTTCTCAAACACCACATCAGGTACCGTAAATTAGAGAATATAGCCTGTGGGTTGTCCAAGTTTTTCCCTACCACACCCTCCCCTCATCCACAGGGTATATGTGTCCACTTGTTATGCTATTTGATTTTTACTCATTTACTAGTATCATGTTGTAGTAATATTTTTAAAGACTTGTTTCCTCACGTTGGCTATCTCTCTGTGCAAGAACCCACTTTGCCAGGTTTTCTTCTAGATTTGGCCAATTGGCTTTTAAAACTTATATACCAGTAATAGGGTAGTGCTTATTGCTTTTTATAGCTCAGCAGCCTCAGCTTTGGTTCATTACCAGTATACCAAGACCCAATATTATCGGGCTGCATGATGTCGTAATCTTCAATGTTTATAGCTGGCAAGTGGTAACCACATCAAAGACCACCAGATTCTTTTATGAAGGCAGCAAAAGTCTCTTCAATACGATAGTTGATGATTTTGTTCTGTGATAATATGTTAATTGACCAGCAAAATTATACTGGTTTTGCCTTTTATGCAAGCAATAGCTGTACTGGTGAATGCCGACAACTTCAAAGTTGGGACGATTACAGTACTGTAGACAGTTTAGGGTTTCAGTGGTACCATAAACAGAAAGGATGATTCACCATACCCTATTATTCTATGCTATGTTTATACCTAATGAAAAGCCAACACAGATTTTGGTCGTTTGTTGTTCTTTACGAAAACCTGAGGGTTATATACGTCCGCTGGTATTCTAATATATTTTTTACATACAATAGAAAAACTTCCAGTAATACATGAGTGTGTGTTATACTTGGATGCATGCTATCTTCACTAATTTACGGTAATTGATATCAGTGGAAACTTTATACAGAGTGATTTAAAAATATCCTTAATGACTTTCAGACATTAGATACATGGGTCCATATATCAAGCCCTCAGATCTCAGAAGAGATGTATGCACTTGTCCAGCTATTTTGTTTCTAAATTTGATGAAATTGGCCTACCTCACAGTGTTTTATGACAAAGACAGACGATAAAATAGTTGGAGACATTAAAATAACCATTTCCAGACATCCTCTTACTTCCATAATAGGCCATTGGAAAACTGTCATTATTTTATCAGGAATCTAACAGTAGGGCATAAAATAGTTAATGTGGTTGTTTCATCTCCTTTTCCCCGTCAACAGAGGCAGTAACAAGAACATCACAGGCATTGACTATCCCTTATCATACCTCTCCAGTTAGTACTGGAATTTACATTCTTGGGTTTGCAAGTCATCATGGAATGCCTTACTTTCCTCTCCATTGCATATTGGTGCCATATTTCGTAATACTTGTGTCATTGTTAATGTTAAAAGCTGAATGTTACAAAAACTATATAGGCCTAAATGGAATGAACACATTAAACAAAAAGCAACAATCAGCCAAAGATGTGTTAACACACCGTGTGGTGTTTTATCTTTATTTAGTAGCCTCCCCCCTCATTTTCTTTAACTCTTCCTTCAGTTTTAATACCACACGGTGTGTTATCTTTATTTAGTAGTCTCCCCCCTCATTTTCTTTAACTCTTCCTTCAGTTTTGCCTTGTCATGTCTTGTCTCTGTTGCAATTATAAAATCTTTGGGGCAGGGAATTTGTCTGTCCAAAGTGTCATGAAAGTGTGAATACTGAATAATGGGACATAATACACAATTTGCCCAAACTCCGTTACGCTGTCAAGAGAGATATGACCCAAAAGCTTCTAGAATCCCCACTTTCAATAACTTCATAACATGACTAAACGAGCAGACTATACACCCATTAACGAGTCTAAACAAAGATCAATGGAAATCCTGCATATCTGTTCTTACACTTCACTTTAAGAGAAGTATCTACTATATATGTGAGAGAGTTTGTCTGTGAATGAGTCTGTCCATCCATATGTTTGTTCAAGAACTCCTCCTAAACAGTGAAAGATAGAACCACCCAAGTTTATATGCAGCTTCCTCTTATCATAACTTAAAGCAAGGTCAGGATTTGGTTGTGACAGGACAATGGGATGGCACAGTAAGGGAAGGAGCTGTCAGTAGGGAAAATTATACTGTGTAATGACCACCCACAGGTATCCACCTCCTGGTCAGTATGGCCTCCACTGCAGCCTGCCCCAGGGAGCTGCACAGTAAGGAAAGGAGCTGTCAGTAGGGAAAATTATACTGTGTAATGACCATAGGGGGCAGTAAGAAGCCAAGGCTGGGGACTGGAATAGCTACAACTCCATTGTGCCAGCAGGGGTTGGTGGTGGAGGAAAGCTTCCTGTCCACACCTGGCCAGCTCTTACCACGGCCAGCTTTGGGGATCCCACCCACAGGTATCCACCTCCTGGTCAGTATGGCCTCCACTGCAGCCTGCCCCAGGGAGCTGTTACCCTGACAACACAGACCCTGCCAGCTCTTGCATTCTCCCCGATCCCTATTTCCCTGCACTAAGCCCCTCCTCACTGCCCAAGCCTGACACCAGCATCTCCCCATGCTCTCTGATCCATGCCCTGAGCCCCTACACACCTCCTGCACCCCTCCACACACCCAGTAGCCCCATTCCCATAGCTCCTCAAATCCTTACTCCTGCACTCCCATATCCCTAATCTTCTGCCCTGAGGCTTTAATATCCCTGAGATCCTGCCCTGACTCCTGCTCCCCTTATATCCTTACCCTTTGCTTTTAAGGACCTGAGTAACACCAGGGAAATCCTGTACTATATGCATAAAGCTAATATATCCATTCTAGTGCTTTCTGCTGGAACTATGTGGAACAAAATGGTGATCATTTGGCCCTTTACATAAGACACATCCCTGGTCCATATTCTCTGTTAGTTTCAGACTTAAATAATTCGCCATCATAGCTGATTTTATTTATGTGAGAAATGGATACTTACATAGTGTTCTGCAGTTTTAACCAGGTCAGTACACAAATCAAAGAGCTTTGATTGCTTTATTGCAACAAAATGGTATTGGCCACCATAGAAATAGCAGCAAGATTCAGCATATCTATACCTTCGTATTGCTGATGCAGCTCAGTATTCAATATGCAACACTACAGTAAATCAACAGGCTTATAGAATTATTTAAGTAGCAACATCATTTGCACCAATGGATTTTAATGAAAACCACAAGGACAGGGGGATTAAAACTCACAGATTATTAACCGTTTTTCATTGCAGGTTCTGTCATTCCATCTGCCATCAGGATGCAGTTCCACGCAGTGTTCAGTTCCACCAGCATTATTTGGTTCATTTTGAGCCCAATTTGAGTATCCGATGGCTTCACCACTTATGTACATAAATGTGCCTTCTGTTTCTCTATCGGTTATTCCAATAAATGCTCCTTTGTTATGACGAACGACTATTTGTTGGATGGCACTGTTCTCTGCAGAATTCCTTGGAGAAGCAAGTAGGCCACCAGCTTGAGAACATGTGGCATTTGAGGTCTCAAAGTTATCTGCAGAGCCACGGGTTATGAACATTTTTTCACCAGCACTAACACCATTTCCAAAAGAAAGAGCTAGAAATGCACAAAAGTACGATACATATAAGTTACGTATTTTCACATAATTCTTTACAGTAGAGTAAGAGGTGCTAGTTCCATGGACCACGATAAAGTTATTTTTGTTGATGGATTTTGCTGGCTATCATGATCTCAGGTTTAGGTTCACACTGTATTATTAATATTTCGGATAGCAATCATGGCATACATTCCAGAGGGGATCAATTTGTACCTGATCTAGCATGTTTTTTTTGTCCTAGAGAGCATAATGTGTATTCCACACAGTGCCCAAATATGAATACAATTAACCAGTGTTGGCTAAAATACTGCAATATTATCAGGTATAGTGTGTGGGACATCATTGCAGTACTATGTATGAGGCCAGGCCCCTAGTGCTTGATTCAGCATTTGGCATACTCCTGTCATGATATATTATCTCATTTGGAATTTATGCCTCTCCTTATAGGTGAGAATCAAGGGCCTGTTCCTGCTCCAGATGAAGTAAATGGGAATTGAGGAGCAGAACGAGACCACAGCTGCTGTTGATTTCAGAGAGTGGTTGTCTCCTGCTGTTCTTTTTAGTCACAGAACCAATCAAAGAACTTTTCAGACACAAAGTAGATCCTACCGAAGCTGCTCCATCTCCACTCCAGGGTACTCTGGAGGGATTATTTTAGGACAGGATCCCAGGGCCATTTCCACATGATGGACTCATGTAATCACCCCAAAGTGGAGACCTGCCTAGGCTGCCTATAAACGTGAGAGTGTTGGAGTTGTATTTCCCAGACAGTAGAACTGAACTACTTTACTAAAATATCCAGCAAGTACATAGAAGTTTGGAATATGAACAAATAGCAGGAAGCCAAGATAAGACACCAGATAAGAACCCTTTTTATCTCTGAGGAAGTAAGGATCTAGATCTTTATTTCTTTAGTTACAATTGGCCCAATTATTCCCTTTGGGCCAATCTCTTAGGGTACGTCTAGACTACAGGCTTTTGTCGACAGAGGCTTTGTCGACAGATACCGTCGACAAAGCTTCTGTCGACAAAGAGCGTCTAGACTACATCCAGTTCTGTCAACAAAGCAAGCCGGTTTGTTGACATTCTGTTGACAGAATTATGTCGACAAAAGGCGTTATTCCTTGTAGAATGAGGTTTACCACCGTCGACAAAACTGCCGAGTTCTGTCGATGTTATGATGACAGAACTCGGTGGTAGTCTAGATGCAGGTATAGTTTTGTCAACAAAAGTCCACTTTTGTTGACAAAACCCTGTAGTCTAGACACACCCCAAGTGACAGGAATGAACAGCACTTTTTCTTACCTTTTTGGATTTTGCTGACAGTAGCTTTCAGGCTGTTCACGTTTTCTTGCAAATTGCTTATTTTAGTTTTAAAAAGCTCGAGTTCTGAAGGGAAAAACAATGGCATTGTTCTTATTGTGTCATAGTAAAATATGGAAAGTTTTCTAAAAGCTTTAATATAGCTGGAGAAGTCCTCTCCAGGACTAGTAATGATCACAGGTGTAACATGAGCGAGACCGGTTTGGATTTCTTGGTTCCTTAGGAAGAGAAGATACAAATTTAAAATGGAGGTGTTGAGGCCATACACCCATAGAAGGAAAAGGGAAACTACCTGCTCTTGAGAAGTACACTTAGCACCTGCAGCAATGCTGGCTTTTCAGATCAATTCAAAACTTAGGAGCACATTCTTAATCCCACACAACTAGGGATCATGCACCCATTGCTGTGATGTTTTCTCTGATAGGATGCTTCTTTTTAAGACTAACTTGTACTGACCCAGCAGGCTCACTCTTTTCCCTCACCTGTAAACCAGACAGTCTGACTTCCCCAATGTCCATCTGTGAATATTGCTCTCTGTCAGACAGAAGTAGTGAAGCCCAGCTGGAACATTTATGCAATGAAAACAGTTCAAACAGACATACAACTTCTCTGTCTGCCCTGTTCGTTTTTTTTCTTTACCCTCCCTCAAAGGAAGTGCTCTGCTGACCTCTGCCTCCACAGAGTCCCTTTGGTCCTTCTTTACCTCTGTTTCCTTTGGGTCCAGGGGATCTATCCATTCCTGGAAGCTCTGGAAAACATCGAAATGCTTGCAATCCACTGTCTTTATCCGGGGAAATGGAAGAGAGAAAAATAAAGCAAGTAAGCAATTGAGTGGGTAGGCATTGTCAGAATTTGCGATTTCTGTCATCATTAGAGCTTCACAAATTTTAAGTGACCAAAAAGAAGATCATAAATTTTGGGAAAAGTTCACATCCTGATGCAGAGCCAAGCTTTATAGCTCTGCTTATCATTGAAATATCTGAAACATCCACTGAAGTTTGGTTTGGGTTCACTTCTTTATCCAAATATTAGAGTGCAAAAGGAATTCTGACAAGGTTTCTCAGCACGTACAGATGAAGCCTTAATTTAAAAAAAAATTTTGGAACCAGATTTGTAAGTGCCCAGCATCCAGAATTGGGTCAAAATTTTCAGGAAATTAAGCACAATCATTGTGACATGTGCAATTGAATTTTCTCCAGAAATTAGCACACAGTGCATGGTTTTGAAAATATGGAACTTAAGGGGGAGTTTGCTTTTTTGTAAATCTAATTGTTCTAGTCCTTAATTCTTTATGCTTCCATTGCCGATTTCTAAAAGGAAATACTCCTCCTGTCTTTCTTTCTCTTTCATCAACTGAGTACTGACCTCCCCAGGTCTGGCAAGTTCCCTGGTCTGGGGCAACTCAGGTTCTGATGGTGCTGGTCTAGGGAGGTCCAATCTGTTCCAGTTTTGGCCACCCAGAAATGTATTATTTATCTACTAAGAAATGCACTGGAAACAAGAAAGTTGTTTCACATAGACCAGAGGACTTTAGCACGTAACACTTTTTAGACACCACTGGTCTGGATCAGATTAAGAACTGGTGGCTTGGCGGTAAAAGGTTCTAAAGGAAATTACCAATTTAAAAGCACCCAGATTCAAATTGTAACTGATCCTTGATTTGAAATAAAACTAGTGGTGTTCAAAATCAATGTTTTCATAATTACCATAAATTAAGGATCTTCAGATATTTGAAATAAAACTAGTGGTGTTGTTCAAAATCAATGTTTTCATAATTACCATAAATTAAGGATCTTCAGATTTTCATGCTTGACAAATCTTTTTGTTCAAGTTGCAAAGTTATATGATTTGACTTGTACATCCACTTTATCTATATTTTAAACTACAATCAGATCAACCGGTGAACTGTAAATAAATATTTCTATACCTGGATGTGCTGGTAGCCCTATAGGGCCTTTTTCTCCAACAATTTCATGTAACCCACGCGGAGCACGTTGATAGTGTTCCAATTTTTGGACAACCTGAGCAGATTTTGAGTTGGATATTGTCACCAGAGTTAACACCAACACGAAAGTGTTGAATAATGGAAGCAGCAGCATTGTAGGATTCTAGGCTGTGTAAAATCATTAAAAGAATGACCGTACTGGCATTTTGAATGCAAGTAAGCTCTTTATGTTGGAGTACTACACATTGGCTATATAAAGGAATGCTAAAATGTCTTCCTTTGTAGAATATTTGTTATAGATTGCTATATTTTAATGAGCACTTCAGAGCTCATAAATGAATTTTTTAACTCTTCTTTACTCACATCTTAATCAAGTTCTGGAATTTGTCCTGCTCTCAGCACCCCACAACATGACACAAAAACCCCAGCACATTTCATTTAAGTCCAATCAGGTTGCTTGTAAACATAATCCTTTAAGTTGCCTAGAAACTTGCTTATAAGAAAGTTATATTTATTCAGCCCTACACAAGTGAATTGGGGTACATAGAATGTAAATGAATAATGTGGCAATAAACAGAATGGTCCAATCAGGTTGCCTGTAAACAATCCTTTAAGTTTCCTAGAAACTTGCTTATAAGAAAGTAATATTTTTTCAGCTCTACATAAGTGAATTGGTGTACATAGAATGCAAATGAATAATGTGGCAATAAACAGAATTCTAACTTTTAATATACATAAATAAAATATTTCAATTACATTTCCATTATAAGCTTTTTAAAAAATGATGCACAACTTTATAATTAAAGAACAAAATTAAAAAAGAGAGCAAATATAACATCCAATCACTTACTGTGCAATTCCTGGATTATTAAAAGAAAACAGGCACAGGAATAATGTAGTATAATAAGTTTGAAGCTCTATTTATACAGTACAAGTTAAGCAACATGAACTTTGGTTTCTCAGCTATCCTCATTTAAAGTAAATAGGAGCTCTTATTTATTCAAGAAAAATTTCACATTATAGTAAATGGGTTCATAGGTTTCTAATCCACAATAAAGTGCAAAGAATTACATTTTTCTCATTGCAAAAGACAGAGGAGGAACTGAACCCACCGCAGCTTTGATGTATGAAGAACCTCTGTTAAAACAATGAACATATGAAATGCAGCTGACAATTTAACCTTTTATAAATTGCACATTGGCAGTCGATATCCTGGGATTTCACTGATAATGTCAATAAGTCAACGTAAATATTCTCCTGGAATAGAGATCATTCAGAAGAATTTCTTTAAGAACATAAGAACGGCCATACTGGCTGATAATGTCAATAAGTCAATGTAAATATTCTCCTGGAATAGAGATCGTTCTGAAGAATTTCTTTAAGAACTTTAGAACGGCCATACTGGGTCAGACCAAAGGTCCAGCATCTTATCTGCTGACAGCTAAATGTCAGCTGACTATTAGCTAAGTCTGTATGTGGAGCAAACTTATTACTCTGTCTGTTAGTGGTGTCAGTGCCACGAGATGGCACAGCATACCACACTGGGAAGGTGTGTAGATTACATCTACAGAAGTTAAAAAAGGGCCCTTAAGAACTTTTTATCTAATGAGGTACAAAAGAAGATTAGGCAATCATAGCTCTAGTATAGGGGTCAGCAACTTTTTCAAACCAAAGAGCCAAACTACATAAAAATTCAGAACAAGTGGTAGAGCCGTATAAGAATGCCCATTTTCATGATTGATAATATACAACTTAATATTATTGATAATTGACATTATGATTAATACCACCATAAATGAAACATTGTACTCAGACTATTTAATGGAACTTCTGCTGCTGCATCCTTTCTTGCATTTTCTTGAAGTTTACATTGTAACTGGTCAAATCTAGCTTTGTGCGTGCATTCAGACTGTCTTCTGTCAATCATATGACAGAGGGTTGGGCACGTGGGGGTGTAGGAGTATGGGTTGGGGCATATGAGGGGCTCAGGGCAGGGGTTTGGGTGTATGATTGGCTTAGGACACAGGGTTGGAGTATGGGTAGCGTGCAGGAGTGTTATGGCAGGGGACTGGGGATGTGGGGTGCAGGAGTTTGGGGATGTGGGGATATGAGGGGTTCAGGGCATCTGGTGTAGGATGGGCTCAGGGCTGGTGTGTGTGGGGAGGGGGGGGTGCAGGAGCGTTATTGGGGGCTGGGCCCCAACTGGGGGCTTGTTGGCCAGGCTACATTTTTAAATAAAGTAAAACATTATGTCCACCACACAGGGGCTCAGCATTGTCTTTATTTATGGAAGAGGTGGGGAAACTTTTTGGGGTCGGGAGCCACTGAGTTTGTGTGAAGGAGGCAGTTGTGACCTGAGGCACAGGATTGGGGTGCAGGAGTTTGGATTGTGATTTAGGACAGGGGATTACAGTGCAGGGGAACCACTAAAATCCCACACTTCTGAATGTCTAAAGAATCTTATTAGATACAGCCATTGCCAGAATAGCAATAAGATATATGCCTAAAGGCAAACAAAAAAAAATGGGGCTGCCTAAAAGCATGGTGAAGGGTTGTGGAAGCCAAGTTGAAAAACCTGGGACACAGCTGTAGAATGAGCCAAGCCAATCTTGCCCTGTCCTGTTCTCCCCTCTCCCCTACAGGCTGCAGGGCCATGTGCTCTGTGAATAAGAGCCAGAGGGGAAAAGGGGATTTGTGCTTCACACGCTGCCTGTTCTTGAACCAGCCAATGGGATCGTGCTGGGGGCAGGAGCACCCATGAAGCATCGTATCTCCTCCCGACCGGCTCAGTTTATGAGAACAAAGGTCCCGACAGCCGCGTTTCTGAGCAGCATGCAGGGGAGGGGCAAGCAGGAGAGTCTGCCTGGGGGCTCCCTGCTACATCCACGGCTGGATAGTTTTGCCTAGGCCTGGTGTGGCACCAGTGCAGGCTCCTTGCTGCAGGGGGAATAGATTGGGACAGGGCTGGGCTTGGTTCAAGCTTCAAAAGAGCCATATCCGGCTCCTTAGTGAACCATATTTGGCTCACAAGCCATAGGTTGCTGACCTCTGATATAGTACATTAATTGGTTGAAATAAAGCCTGCACTCTCCATTAGTACTTATCTGCACCAGCTAAAGCAAGTGAGCTGCCTTCTTTACAGTAGGATGTTAACTTGTAAAATTACACTTTTTTTCCTGGGGGAGACAAGGCCAGATTTGACCACATTATCGAATACCTTATGGATAGGCGGTAACACAGAGGGAAAAAAAGAATAATGCAAACTACATCACCAGTTTTTCAATGACTCCCTGGTCCACTGCAAAAGACCAACAGGGTCTTACACAGTGAAAAGGCCCTTCTATATCAAGAAATAAATGAAGGGCTATTGTGCTCAAGTGGGATTTGTCCAGTTTACTTTATAAGAAATGTTTCTTGGTGGACTCTTGCTGGTGGCTCCCAGAGCTGGCACAACCTGGGACTCCTCAGTCCTCAGTCCCAGCTCAAGCCAGCTCCTGGAATAGTGATTTACTTAGAAATTAGCACTGTATAGACAGCGCCAATTTCCTAAATAAGCTGCTACATCCACGGCTGGATAGTTTTGCCTAGGCCTGGTGTGGCACCAGTGCAGGCTCCTTGCTGCAGGGGGAATAGATTGGGACAGGGCTGGGCTTGGTTCAAGCTTCAAAAGAGCCATATCCGGCTCCTTAGTGAACCATATTTGGCTCACAAGCCATAGGTTGCTGACCTCTGATATAGTACATTAATTGGTTGAAATAAAGCCTGCACTCTCCATTAGTACTTATCTGCACCAGCTAAAGCAAGTGAGCTGCACAGAGGGTTGGGCACGTGGGGGTGTAGGAGTATGGGTTGGGGCATATGAGGGGCTCAGGGCAGGGGTTTGGGTGTATGATTGGCTTAGGACACAGGGTTGGAGTATGGGTAGCGTGCAGGAGTGTTATGGCAGGGGACTGGGGATGTGGGGTGCAGGAGTTTGGGGATGTGGGGATATGAGGGGCTCAGGGCAGGGGATTCAGGGATATGAAGAGCTCAGTGCTCAAGTGGGATTTGTCCAGTTTACTTTATAAGAAATGTTTCTTGGTGGACTCTTGCTGGTGGCTCCCAGAGCTGGCACAAGCCGGGACTCCTCAGTCCCAGCTCAAGCCGGCTCCTGGAGCTACTCCCACTGTGGCTCTGCACAGTGATCCTTATCAACTAGTCGTGTTGTCAATACAAATTGTATCGACTACACGATTAAATAACTGCAGTTTAACATCCTTAATTCCAGAATAATCAATTCAACACCAACACCAGATGTGAGTCATGTAGACCATTAGGGCAGCAGGGGATTGGGGTATGAAAGGGGCTGCAGGGGTTTGGGATGTGGGGCAGGGGATTTGAGTGCAGGGTCTGGGCGGAAGGTTTGGGTTATATGGGATGGGGGGGAAAGGAGTGCTG